GGATGGATGGATGGATGGATGGATGGATGGATGGATGGATGGATGGATGGAGCCCTCAGAATGTGGCACCGCACATCGATGGGTGGACCGAGTGTGCTTTTGAAAGAAAACAAGGATGAAGCAAAGGGTTCCCTATACTCTGCGTCTCCTCGGGTACCTGCAAAAGGGCACGATGATGGTTGATGTTGGCAGTATAGTCAGCATCTCTGACGGACGTAGCGAGGCACACAGCCACACATGAGAATCTATCACCGTGACATTTGAGGTTTTTGATGTTCTTGATGTTAACCTGCTGAGTACACTCTCCAAAGCACGGAAACTGACAAGAAGGTTCAGAAACTAGTTCTTAAAGCTTAACTGAGGACCTAGGAGAAGACCAAAGTCTCGCTCTGAGCGCACCCTGGACCTTTTTGGAGGGAACGATGTCAAGCCCAACGAACCAGCACGAAGACGTTCCAGGTTCCACACCCCAAGAAGGATCTTGGATATATGTTGGGCTATGGGCTATCCTATTACCAGGGTTCAGTGGATGATGGTCAATAAAGGCCTTGTTCACAAAGAATTAGTGATATATATATATATATACTTGTCTTACTGACTGTGTACCAGGTAATAGGGCAGACCCAAGCCATACATGCAGCAACTCTTCAGGATATGTCGAATTGTTGCTCGTCTCCAAGCGCCACGTCCGGACGCTGATCTGCGAATCGCCTACGGACGTCCAGTTCGGCCGCAAAAACACCAACCGAAACTGGGAGAAAGTCGACTATGAGATGTCCGTCCTCTCTCGCGTGGAGGCCAGGTGGTAACCGTAGCCCTCCAAACTCAAGAGCCGCCTCAGGAGTGGGGTGGCTGAAAGGAATCGGTGCTCCTCAGCGGGCTGCACATAGCTGCGACTTTCCACTGTTTGGGTGATCTTTCAAACGCCAAACGTGCAAAAAGCAGGATGCCTTCGAATAGGGCTAGGGAACATGGGGAATGGAAAGCAATTTACAGGAATGCATGAGGTCATAAGGTTGACAAACAGTTACTGTAATTACGTACATTCATCTCTTGGTCAAACCAGGCTTCACCCCAGAAAAATCTCGCACCAAATGCTGCTGACCAACATGTTCCCCCCCCAAACTCTCTGAACCACCCAATGAACCTCCCCCCAACTGCCCGAAACGACGGTCGCGAGGTCTGGGCTTCCCGGTCAGCGCATCTCGCCAGGCGGCCATGCAAACCAAGAGGAGCTCGACTAAGGAGCGATCCTTGGATCGCCAGTGGAAGTTCAACCAGTGGAGGAAGGGAAGTTAAGGAAGTTGTATCCAAATTTGGAGTGCGAATCACATGATCTCATCCACAAGGTTGTCCAAAACATCGTTGGCCATGACAGTGGGGTCATCACGCCCACTGCGGTGGTGCTTCTTGCCACAAACCTGGGTGAAAACAACGCAACATGTCCAATGATCAACCAGTGGCCGCATCTACTGCCCCAAGAAGAGTACTCAGTGGCACAGTGTGCCTGAAAAATAAACTCCTTTTTTGCTGGAAGAAAAACAAAAAAGCACGCGGCGCAGTTTTTATGTCAAAAATATGTTTTGACAACCAAGGAAACCCCCTTTGGAGAGTTGCGCCGGGTAAGCCATTTGATATGTGATGGCTGCCCGACCAGCAACATGCACTTGAACACGACAAACGAAGCAGAACAATTCCCTTCTGAATGAAGCAAAGGATAAAAGTTGATGTTATTTCTGTGAATCTGAGGGGTCTGTACCTGGGTGTGTGAAAATGTTCTTAGAACATGATGAAAAAATTGATCCAAAAATCATGCATCAGAATGTTCAGGAAAGAAAAGAACAACCACTTTGGTAGAGTGGAAGCTAATACGGTTGCACTTTTTAAAAGCACAATGGAATCCGCAGGGTGTTCTTCGGATGCGTGTGTTCCTACGGATGTCAACGGCTGAGTGCGGCCGAGTGCGGCTGATTTCTATGTCTCGAGTGAGTGATCGTCCAAGTTGGACCATGACTCCTCCATGAATGTCATCCTTAGAGTGTGGGTGTGGCACTGCACCCACCGGAGACCCCCCCACATCCCACAGAGACCGGAGAGACCGCACGCGCAGAGCGCAGAAACGAACGCCCGGACGCCCGGGTGTCCCGGGCGTAGAGCAGTTCCACTGCCCTCGAGAGCTCGTCCCGGCCCTGGAAGGCTTTCGACGGTGCTGATGCTGGGAGCTGTCAGGAGCTGTTCCAACTGACGGATGTCCACCGTCTTCTCCTGTGGGATGAAGTACTGTGTGGATAACAGGAATCGTGGCGGTTTTCAATCTGCCAAGCTATTAGGGAAAAAATGTCCAAGCACTGCACTTGTCAGAGTTGAACGAGCGTGCAAATGTATGTATATAATATACTGTGTATATATATATATATACATACTGGCATCAATAGACTATCTTCAACTGGATTCAGAATACCTAGAAAGCTGTAGGCTTCCAACTCCAGAAGTCATCCTCAAAACATTGGATGTTCCTAGTAGAAAGCATCTGCAAATCTTGTTGGTTGACCCAATACTTGGCTGAAACCATACAGAAACAACTGACGGTTGAAGGTCTTTAAAATCCGAAAGGCTGCGGTTGTGTTCCGTCCAACAAAATCGTCCAGTCGAGCACTTTGGGAGCTTTGCCCGTGCAAAATCCTAGCAAGGGAAGATGGGAAGGATGACGAAGGATAAAGGCGCAGGAGGAGGTTAACTTTTCTCCGACTTTTGATGCGAAAGAATGTCAACGTCTTGGAGATTGTGGTCAGTGCTTTGGACTGCACCTTGGAAGTTTCAAGCTCCCATATCGTTTAAACTCAATGTAAACTTGATGTGTTCCACGCCTTTGTAACCTCCTGTCACCGGGAAGCTACCCGAGGTCGGCTTGGGCACGGCCACCGAACGCCCATTCCTGGCACGACATGACCTGATGCTTCTGATTTCTCTCCACCGGATCCGCTGGAGAGTCCAGCATTCAGCAGATCAGCCATTGTAGCCCTTTTCGTGAGCCCTAAAAGACCTTTTGAGGCTGTGCCATGACGTGCCATGAACGACGAGCACACTTCATCTGCCCACCCTCTTCCTTCGAGCCGAGCCTGTGCAAAGACCTCCAGCACGGATTCGCGACCTGGATTCGGGGCAGCAATGGCCCAAAGTAGCAAAGCCCCTGAAATCCGATGGGCAATGTCAAACCACATGGATACGCCATGGATACCCCAGCCCATGGATACCCCAACGATTCCATGTGGTACAGATTGGAAGTTGCTGTAAATCCTAGCTTCCGCTGGAGAACTTGTCTATCAACGGACTTTCGCCTACAAGACCACCCTGAAAGCCCTCGTCTTTCGTCCCTTTCACATCTGACAGGTTGACATAAAGGAGTCCCACTCTGAGTCTTAAACCAAAGTGGGACAAATCAGCAATAAGCATGAAGTAGTGCTGAGTCCCACTCTGACTTCTTCAACTTTAGCACTACAAATCAGCAATAAGCATGATGATTCGTGAAGTGACTCTCACCACCCCTCAAAACCTCGCCCGCTGCCGTCGTTGGATCTCACCTCGACCGCAGGATCTCAGCCTGCGCCCCCCCGTGGCCTCGCCTCGCAGGATCTCAGCTTCCGCCGCTCGTTGCTGCAAGCTGGAGGTGGTGTAGTGCCGCCTCAAACGCGCCGGCCGCGGCAGGTCTCCAGCGCGGCAGGCAGACAGCGCGCGCTGGTTTTGTCCGCTCAAGCAGCTCTTCGGCGGGTGGTTTTGGTCTGAGGGCAAGAAGAAGGGAGGAGTCCTTGCCATGCAATCCCAGGCACAGGGGTTGGGTCCTTAAGATAAGTTTTGGGTTTGGTTGCTTTGCTGCAGCGAACCATCAGACAAGTGCCCAGCAGGGCTAACGACTGGGAAGAGCCACCCTCAGTCCCGTGTTGTTGCAGCAACCACATGAGGAAGCTGTCCCACAAAGGCAGAACGGGTGTTTGGGCGACATCTTCCCGAGTTGTTGCTAGCTCAGCGAAAGATCTCTGGGTCGCCCGGCCAATGTTGAAAGTGAAATTCCAAGCACCGCTCATCTGGCTGGCACTTCTCACTTCGCAGCCAACCTGAGCACAGGCATCTTCGCTTTTCGCGCAGCCCGCGGCTTCCGGATGGGAGATAAAAGCTCATGATTGGCGCCAAGGCGTCGTATTCATTCCCGAAAAAGCACACTGTTGAACACAATGCAGACTCTCTAGAAAGAATTAGTACAGTACTCATAACATACAGTAACCAAACAAAGGATTCTTGGATTGTGCAGATTTGGAGGTTTACTTTGTCTTTGGGTTTCATCATCCGAAGGACAGATTGAACGGGATTAAACATAAAACACTCTATTGGAAACCACAAGCGAGTCTACCGTTCACACCAATTTCTTCTCATTGCAGTCCCAACACCTCGGTGTTCACTGTCCTAGAATTAAAAATATAACGATATAGGATTGATGCAACTCACGTTGCCAATACTTGTCACTAATCATAGTTTTTGTCGCTGTGATTAATAGGTCATAGTTGTCCATATGTTTCTCATAAACTACCAAGATCTCCGACACCACTCAACGACCGCTCTCCTCTACTCTCCCTCTCTGCTCTCGCTCGGCGCCCGTACCCGTGCGCCGCTGCAGGGCGTTCGAGAGCCGAGCCGTGTGGACGGCCTGGGCGAGCATTTCTGGCAGATGTCCTGAGAGCAACCATGGCCGCCATGGCCGCCATGGTTTGTGAGGGTTTTTACTTAGTTATAATAGCTGTTTGAATGGCTGACCAGACTATCCCCGAAATTCTTGAAAAAAAATGAAGGCATCCTTCTTCTACAAATGATTTAGTCTGCAGGAATGTTCAGGAGATTGGTTACTTTGTGCCCACACGTGGTCGTCACCGGATCCACACCTGACCGACACAAAGAGCGGTACGTTGCGAGCAACAACTCTACGATGTCTTTCCTACGCACCATAAGATACACAAGATGAACATGGAACCTTTGGAAGAGTGTCTTCCTCTACAACCCGTGGTGGTTGGTTCGGTTCCAGCCGGTGGGTCTCGAAAGCAAAACCGCTGGTCCCGGTGTTTCACCGACGCGACCGTCCCGGTGCACCGGTCCCAGTGGACGCGGTCCGTCCGACCTCTGAGAGCGAGCGGTCCCTCTCGGGCCTCTCGAAAGCCCATGAGGACCTTCGTCATCAGCAGCCTGAGGACCGAAGCGTCGATGAGCATCGATGCGAACGGACCGCGAGCGGTTTGGGGCCGGGCGAGCCATTGGTCCGTCATGCGGGAGCGATTGAAGGAATGATGTCAAGCTGGAGTGGCCAACTCTGCACAAAAAGAGGCAGCGCTTCTGGACGCGTACTCTTAAGATTAGATTCTTATACTGACCTTGCTACGTGGTTGGTGTTGGAGCGCCAAACAATTCTAGCTGGAATTCTGGCGCTGGACCAGACTGGCCATCATACTCACCGCACGCGCCTGCCTTCGCAAGCTTCACGCACTAGCAGGACCGACACATGAGTCCCAGAATGGATTCAAGGGAAAACCTACAGGAAACCTATAATTTTGGGATGAAAACATGGGCTACTAGAAACACGAACGCTACTAGGTGAAGGGCCATCGCTACTAGTCACAAGGACGCTACTAGGCTAGGTGGAGCTTTCCTAGCGATGTTCCCTTAAACCTCATTGTTCCTGAGCGCCCCAGCACATGTGCGAAAGATCGCCCTAAGGACCGACCGATGATGCTGGCATGGAGGCCTGGGCAGTGAGGCTGATCAAAGGCGCCGGTCGGGTCCGAGTGGTTTTTCATCATGCGATGTGAAAAAGGTGTTCACATGATGAAGCAATTCTAACCATGGTGGTTTTCATCTGCATTCTTGCTTGTGTCTTGGGCGTTCTGAGGATTGAAGGCAACCACGAGGCAAATTGGCCGAATCGCAGTACCATTGCCAAGTGGTGTAGTTCAAAACATTGTGAGGCATGATGCTACTAAAATAAAGGTCTACCACTGAAGAAGCACAAGTTGATGATGCATCAACATGCATGAAAAGTTGTGCTCTCGGAGAGGGAATCCATCCCCTCACATGACACCTTCAAGGCTGCCTATCTACTTCTTGGAGACACATCGTTAGGAGCCGCCTCATCCGATGTCGTCTTCACCACACGCTAAGAATGCATCTCATCCGGTTGCATGCTCCGATGCCACCGTCGTTCATGGTCTGGACGCACTGTGTGTCACTAGATTCGTCACTAGATCACCATGGCGCATCAAATATAAAGCTCCCCCCTAGTGCAAAAAGTGCGGCCAAACAATTGTCGTAACAATACACTACTCGCAATAACGCAATAATAAACCTCTGACCTTGAGATTGTGACAGCTTTTGATCGCAAAGAAGAAACAATTCAAAAACAAAGTAGTTCAATCTGGAAAGAGGTCATTGTAGAAGAGCAAGTCAAGTTCATTATTGGTGCCTACTAATTATATATATATGCCACATAAACTCAAAAGCACGTCTATTGTAGAGCAGAAACTGATGTCTATTATTGGAACCTACTAGAAAAGCAAGCTTATTGTGGCCTACTGTTGTAGAGGAGTAAGTAAAGTTTATAATTGCATTGACAGTACTTAGTTTAATAATTCACACTCTTTAGTCTATAATTGTATTGTTTTAGAAAATGGTTTATAAATGTCTATAATTGACTCGCTCTCCATGTTCAACCTACTGAACAAAAAAGGCTTTTTGCAGTAGTGTTTTTTTTGCATGGTTTCGGTAGCCCGGAGACTTTTAGGTTTATGATTGACTGGTGGTTTATTATTGTGATGTGAACATTAACAGTATAGTATAGAATACATGATGGGTGCACCATGGCGCAACCAAAAAAAGGCTCACCAAGACCAAGGTCGCTTCATCTCGGGCCCCCTGGCGTTCCATGGATTCCGTGCTGGGCAAGAACTTCTGGCGACAAGTGATCACCAGGTTCTTCCTGCGACCCCGGCGACCCATGGCTCAGGACGGCCCTGTGTGGCGAAGTCGGACGGCCGGACTGTTGGGCTCTTGGACCCGTCAAAATGCCATGGAGTCCATGCTCTTCAAAACCGGGATGATCTTGGACCCTCGGTGGTCCGAGATCAGCTGATTTGAGAGTCTATCTTCATCGTTCGGCGCCATCGTTCAGTGGGTGGCTTCGAGCTTCGATGAAATGCAAGGATGACCGAAGGATCAAAGAACGACATGGACACCCAAAGCAAAAATCATGCGTGTCCGTACAAGAATGTCTGGGCACGTTCAAAGTCCATGTTGGCATTCAACCGAACACACCAGCGAGTTGAACAGTTGATGGACAAGGTCTCCTGTACATTGGTTCTCCCCTACTCCCTAAGTGCTGCAAGAGAAGAACTTGCCCATCAAGAACGCGATGAGTATGTTTGTATGTATATATATATATACATATGATTGGCACTTGCCTGCAAATGAATTTCAATTTTATCCACTGACTAGTGCTCAGAACCGTGGCTAGTGAGGGGGGCAGTTGGTATTCGGAATGTTTGGTGGCCAAGAGATCCTCACCAATTCTTTCCTCCGGTGAGCAGGTCAGCAAAGCATAGAGCTATCAAGTTCAGAACTCTAGTTGCGAAGCTTTGGGGTTCAGAAATTGAGAGAACACATCATGACAATCATGATGTTTGTGACCGCTCAAGGCATCTGGGGATCAAATTGTGCCTGTTTAGATCTCTTGTTTGTTGTATGGTTTTCGCTTGAGCCTTGGTGTTCAAGGGGAAGGCACAAAACTCGTTCTACTTGCAAATGCCAGAACAAAGCTCAAAGTTAAATGACACCCACAATCACCACAACAAGACTTGCAACCGCGAGCTACTTGCAACCACAACAACCACAAGCCACAAACCACAACAATGCCCCTCTGGAACACCCTCCATCTTCCCACATCTTCATCACAGGACCCCCCCCGCCCTGCTCGATGAAGCCCCCAGCACCTCCGCTCCCGCCGCGTGGCGGAGACCCGGAGCATCTCCGCGATGTCGTGCAGCGTCCGGGTGATGATGCCCGGCGGCCTCGGAGTCCGGTGGGATCCGGCGGTCCCGGCAAGGCACGGTGAGATGAAGCGGTTTCGGTTGCAGTATTTCTTGAAGAGAGAGAGAGAGAGAAAGACAAAGGGGTGTTTTTGCAAACTAAGCAGCGGTGTCTGGATTGAGGGTTCTTAGGTAAGACCAAGGTAGTAGAATCCTGGTAACCCTGCAAAAGAAGGTTGTCTATAGTGACTAGACCTCATACAGTACCCTTGTGGCTATCATCTGAACAGATCTCCGTTGATCAAAATGTCCGAAATGGGGACATCAGCTGCCATTGGACCCCGTTGAGATGACATCGTTTTCTAGGCCCAGGACTTATGGTTTGCTGCCAGGCAAAATAACAATCCGAAATAGGGACCTTAGGGATTGGAAGCTTTGTCATGGGTTATGCGGGTTTTGGCGATATATATTGTAGCATGAGGAGCTACTAGTAACTAGTAGCTCCATAAACATCCGTAAATCCCAGGTTGCGTATGTCCCTGTCGTGTCCGTCCTCCAATTTGTCCCACCACATCCACGGAACAGTCCTTCCGGGGCCCCTCGCGCTTGGTAGCAGCAGTTGCCCCAAGGGCCCAGAAGGACTGGCAAGGAGGTATCGACGACGATGTGCCAAAGAAGGGCCCACTGCTTGAAGACTGATGTACCAATCCAGGTCTGAACTGGATTGACTGGTGACTATCCATGCATTGCCCCCACCTTATGACAGCTGAAACCCAGCTCTTGCTGTACGTGGTTTTTAGCCCATCTCCAGGAGATGATACATCACTTCTTTCCTTTGGACTCACCTCCAACATGCAAAAAGAATCAACAAAACCTCCCGTTCTTGGCCGCCCCTGTCCCACCGAGCCCTTTTCCGCTGGCGCCGCTCGGTCGAAAAACCGGATCTCACACCGGGTCGGTGCTCGGTCTCGGCGCCATGCGCGCCAGGCAGGGCGCCAGGCGCGGGCGCCCGGAACGCGAGCCGCGAGCCGCGGGCAGAGGTTTGTGGGGAAGATGTGTCCTTTACCTGGGCCGAAACGATGGACGGAATCGATCGGAATCGGTAAGGGCCATGGTGGGAATGGTCCTTTTTACTTCTGTATACTGCATACATCCTTTATGGGGTATATATATATATACAGTATATTGTATATATATATATATCAAACAAAGCTAAGGGAGAATGTTCATCTGCTTGACCAAACAAAATAACAAAAATCGCCCCGGTCTCCTGAATCCAGTCACGCCGCGCGACAAACGCATACTTCTCCCTCTACAATTTGATGGGGTCTTCTCTCTCAGAAGTACCAGTGTGGTTTTGAAGTGGCGGATTCTTCAGTTTGTAAGGATGCCTAAAAACGGTGATGCGATAATAATGTGAATGAAAACACCGTTCGTAGCGATGAAGGTCATGTGTCATGCCAAAGACATCCCAAAAGCTTCAAAAACAGGTCACGTCTTTTTTCTGAGCAAAACCACCGGTAAACAGCTGAAAACAAAAACTGAGAGTAAATGTTCGAGGCAGCCCGCGAAGGTTTCTGTCAGCTACCCCCAGTGAAAGCAATGCTTTAACAATATTGAACGCATTCCATTACCGGCTATGGATCAAAAACAGGATGCCACCCAAACCCACTGAGAAAGGGACCAACAACTCAACAAGTGAAATGGTGTAGGTTGCTGGGTCCCATTCATTGAGCCGATGTCATTCCGTGAAATGGACCAGATCGTGTCCTCGTGTCATCTGTCTTCTTCCTCCCCCAGCTGCGATTCCTCCCTCCATCGAGCCACACGTAGCTGTTCTCCACCAAATGCTCCACGATGTCGTTGAGGGTCGGGTAATCCATGACCAAGGTGGAGGACCTCAGTAACGGACCAACCTGCGTTGGGTCATGGAACCTTGCAACAAGGGAAGTCGTGTTCGGAACCTCGGGGAGAAAACACCAGCGAGATGGTTGATTCAAAAGAACACAAGAATAACAAGAGATCATGACACAGAATCATGATGCATTGTGATGCATTGTGGCGCATTGTGGCATGGTCTTCTTCGATGTGAAGCAGTCAGTGACGCAAAGCACTGAGCAAATTCGCTCTGAAGATCGGAGTTGAGGGGTGAGGGGTGAGGGGTCAGACCCCAGACTTTATAGGTATATATCAAATGGTATAAACCTGGGGGTGCAGCAAGAATTCTTGCAAAATAGAAAGGAATTGCCAAAACCCAGGGATACAAAATGACAGGGCCAACATGCAATGTTTTGTTTCACTCACTAGGCCCCATCAATCTATAGAAAATGTTGGGTAAAACATGTTGTAAGAAATGAAGGTGCCACAATGTTTTACATCTGATCTGATCAGTTTTGGAGGCCCCTTAAAAGGTGACTGATTTTTTAAGGCAGCTACAGCAGCTCTTTTTCTGCAGCAGCTTTATCCAAGCCCATTGCTCACACCAATTGTGTTTTTTTTCCAGGAGCGGCTGGAGCGGAAGACGCTGCTTCCCTCTCGCAGTTTCTTACAAAATGTAATGGTACATGTTCTTCTTAATTTTCCCTCTAGAATGTACTGGTGAAGCCACCACATAGTTTCTGCATCCAGCAAAGGGCCAGAATGATAGCCATCATACACTCTTTCAAAATGAGATTTGTCCTAAAACAGACGTCCTATAAAATGACATTGTCTGATCTTATAACCCTAGCCATATCTCCTAAATGATTAAAGGCCCAAAGGATCCCAACAAGGCGTGAATCTGTTTGATCTGCCACCCAACAGCACGAAGATCCTCTGGGGATTCTTTCGGGAAAGGGAGCATCCCACAAAACATTGACCATCTCAGTGCGTGACCCCGGATTTTGCCTCATGAACCACCCGAAGAATTCACGTCCGGATCGATGGCCTTCGCCCTGTAGCTACGTCCGGGCCAGTCCGAAACAGGGGAAGAAGATCCAGCACCACCCAGGAACCCAAACTGGGTGGTGCTGGACCACTGGATGGAGTTCCATCTCCTTTATGATCCACGTTCTGCAGGGCCGACGCTGAGACCTCCGGATGAGACGCGTTCTCCTGGATGCCGCCCGACGGCAGATCCGTCACGGGTGACACCACCAAAGGATCGCCCACACATGAATGTGTGTATGAGTTGGAGGCCAGGCCATAGTAGAGTCATGAGTGTGTATTAGGGATTAGGGGATCTTTCAGGTTAGCCCCCCCCTGGAAGAAGGACATTTGCCCCAACGACATCGGTGGGAAACGTTTTTTGGGGAACCTTCAGTTACACACCCATCTCTCGTGAAACCCTCCAACCCCCCACCGATCATTTTGAACCAATCCAAAATCCCGCGGAGCGCGCCATCCAGCCCGAATCCCACGCACCCCCACTGCTTCCTTCACCAAGAAACAGCTTGATGTTCGTCTGTGATTCCAGGCTCTCGCGGAACGCGATCGTCGCCAGGCCTCGGTCGCGTTCGCTCGCCGTTGAAACCGTTGGAAACCGACCGTCCTTTTCGGAGGACCGACACCACCTCGGTGAAAGACCGGGCCCCGGTCGGTTTCAAGACCTCCGCATTTTTTGGAGGAGTTTCTGGTCTTCCAAGGATAGCATGTCTTGTGATGTTGGAGAACAAATACTGCTCGTGCCCCCCAAACAAAAAGTGTACCCAAGTTCTGTTTCCACCTTCGGCCTTTGTTTCGCCCTTTTCGGCAGCCTCATCAAACTTCTTGTCACGAAATTCTCGAGGCGTGTCGGCCTCCAAGAGACGTGTCGGCCTCCTGAAACGTCTGAAACTGGACGCCGACGCCTCCCCGTCCCGTGCCATCCCATGCCCCGTGGTTTGTGCGTCAGCAAAGACGGCAGTAGCTGCCACTGTTTTCGTCAGAGACAGATTGGTTGGACGAATCAAACCTCCGCATATTGGAGGGCTTGACTGGGCTGGACCATCCAGGTAGAGGGCGGGGTTCGGTAACAGTCAGCAGTAAGTCGGACGGATCTTGTTATATAATGATGTCTGAGGTGTAGGCCTGTCAAGGATGCAAAAACTGCTGTGAAAGCAATCTGCTCACCCAGCATGGTGGTTGGCTGTTGCTTGCAAAGCCGGAATCCACGAGAGAACCCTCCAAGCTAGAACTATAGAATACTGTAGATTTAATGGTTTATATACATGTGCCACTCAGGTTTAATGCTGATCAAACAACCTCGTAATTGAGGGGAGATTCGTGGGGAGAGAGTGGTGTTGGGATTTAATTGTACAGCAATATCTTCCGTGTTCCTGTGACAAAGGTGCCAAAAGGACGCCTACATCATTGTAAGTACCGTCACGTTTAACCATTAGTAACACTGCCGTGCCCAACAAAAGGCAGGCTTGTCAAAGCTTCGCCCACGAAATCCCGAGAGTCTGAATTCAGTGATCAATCAAGCGTATTTTCGAGTCTCTTTGCAAGCGAAAAACACATCGACGTTCCAAGAATGAAACATCGACGTCCCAGAGCAAAACCCTTGTTGGTTCAAGAAGGTGGGGAGGGAACTACCTCGGACCGACCGCACACCTCGTTACGACCGAAATCCCCAACTCGGTCGGGGCACTGTCAAGGCCACTTTCCATCAGAGGGTCCTGGGCTGACCCGAAACGACGAAGCATAGACCTGAAAAGCAGCTACTTGTCAATGGAAACCCAACAGTTTTGCAAAGGAACATATATAGATGAACGTCGAACGTCTTCACCATTGCCAAACAAGAATTAACAGGATGAAACAGCTTCCAAAACGGTCAAGGTCCGTGTGGTTCTCGCATGGTTCTGTGGCAAATCGTGGTCACGATCAGGGGAGACCACCGATTCCCATTTAACATAATCCAACAACTGGTGCTTGGTTTCTTCTGCTTGAACATACAAAGGATTAGAGACTTAGAGAACCCAAGAAGGAGTTGAAACTTAGAGAAGTTGTGTTAGGAAAAGGCATATTGATTTCTGATGTTTCTCAAGGGTGATCGCGACAATCTTCCACACCTCACCCACAGCATGTCACCAGCGGATTCCCTTTCAGGAAATGGCCGGCCAAATGGGATCAATGAATCTGACTGGATGACCTGATCTTTCCCCCAAAGAACCCTTTGGCACACCAGACGGCGGGCCGTTACAGATGGCTATGTTCGCTGCTTTCTTGAAAGGCCACCAACCCGGACTCTTGGACCATCTTGGACGGCAGCGCTTTGGAGTATAAGATGTGGGTCCATCAAGGAAGATAAACCAGGATACATCAGGAGACCCCAAATGGCGTGGTGTTTGGACCCTCCGGGGTGGTGAAAGAACGGTGCGGTGCGATCGAAAGGAACCAATTATGATGCCAAGCCACGTCTAGAGTCACTTCCTCATCCCCACCAATGGATTCCATGACCACAGCCTTCGAGATCCTGATGGCCTAGCACACCGCCCGGATGCGCCAACGCTGCTGGTGTTGGAGCTGGCGCTGCTGGTGTGAGATCGATCAGATTGGATCGGGTCACTCTTTTTAAGCGATCCAACAGCTGGTTTTCTCTTGGTGTTCTCCAAAGGCCTGATAGAAGAACACCGACAGCATCAGGCATACACCCAAACACCCAACACACATCCCAAAACAC